AGGAGGAGGAGGGGGAAGAGGAGGAGGGGGAAGGAGGAATTCCCAAGAAGTGTGTTGCCTCCTCCCACTCCCCTTCAGGTAATGGGACTCATTGGGTCAAGTCACAGAGCCTTAAAGAGTCCAAACCTGTAAGGATTTTTATGAGTTTATTTGATACAAACTGACGACAATCATCTGGAATCAAAATCTATGGATTGAGAAAATGCTCTGGAGAATGGCAGTTTTGCCCCTTGTTTTGTACATTACAATCAGGAAAACGTAAGTGGGTCACATGAACTCCATTGGTGATGGATTAGGGAGGCAGGAGAAAGCAAAGGGGGAACCTCTGGGATTGGATGAAAGGTAAAATGAAGCCCGGCTGGCGTGGCTCAGTGGTTGAGTATCGACCTATGAACCAGGAGGTCACGGTTCGATTCCCAGTCAGGGCACATGCCTGGATTGCGGGCTCCATCCCCACTGGGGGGCGTGTAGGAGGCAGCTGGTCAATGGTTCTCTCTCATCATTGATGTTTCTATCTCTCCCTTTCCCTCTCTGAAGTCAATAATATATATATATATATTTAAAACAAATAAAGTAAAATGAATAGACACAGAAAATAACAAATAGACAAAAAAGGAATAGATGTTTGTGGGTACAGGATAGTTAACAGTTAACAATTAACATGGTAACAGTAACAATGAGAGGGGCTGTGGTCTGCTCTGGTGGGAGTTGTGCCCTGAGGGGTCTGGAGGAGGGGTCACTCCAAAGGCAGTACCTGTGGTGGATGCAAAAAGACAATAGACAGGTTCAGGTACGGGTTGGCCTTTGTGGAGGAAGATGCAGGCGAGGACATGACTCCCCACTTTAGTTGGGAAACTGTAATAGCAGGCCATCCTGTGTGGTTACTGCAGGGCTCTGGGTTTATAAGGCCGGCCTTGCAGGCCTCCCCGGAGCCTGTCAGTTTAGTATGTGGCCCCTTCTTTGCCCACAGATATAAGAGCGATTGTTTCCGCGAGCTTTGGGTTTAGCCACATTGCATTCTGAGAAGAGGACTTGGAGATGCCGAGGGAGACTGAGATCCCTCCCCTGGAGCTGGAGATGCTTCTTTCAGATACAGAGAAGGAAAACGGTTGCCAAAGGAGACATGGCGATGTTGAGGAAAGAATGCTGGGGAGTCTGCGTTTAAATTCTGCTGCTTCTGTGACTTGGCTATTTATCTTTTGGAGGCTCATCTGTAGAATGAGGCAAATTATAGTCATTCTTATCAGATAGGAGTGTCCTAAAGATTAGGGGAGAATACAGGTGCAGGGCCAGTTTGGCTCAGTTGGTTAAGTGTGTCCCATACACTGAGAGGTCCGGATTCGATTCCTAGTCAGGGCAAATGCCCGGGTTGTGGGCTCAATCCCTAGTAGGGGACGTGCAGGAGGCAGCCAATGATGTTTCTCTCTCTCTCCCTCTCCCTTCCCCTTTCTCTAAAATCAAACATATTTTCCAAAAAAGCAGCAACTGTCTTTAAGAGAGGGACTAGCATTCAGCGGTGCAACCTGCCTCCCACTAGGCCAGGCTTTTTCAACCAACACTTAACGCTTCTCTCTGGGCAGGGTTGAGGGTGGCGTGGAAGAGGTGGAAGAGGTGGAAGAGGTAACTCCCTCCCTAGGGTTGTGCTACATCTATCTATGCCTCTGAAATGATTTCATTTCTCTTCTCAACAGTCTTCCGCTTCCACATCACAAGAAACTGCAACTACCCTGTATTCAGTGGTGCTGCCCGCAGGGAAGGTGAGTCTCCGCCTCCAGGGGTGCTTGGGTGCAGGGGTGTGTTTTGCATGCGCAGTGCAGCTTGGGCTGGCGCTTCTGAGTGACTTGACTTCCACTGCATGTATCCAAGTGACTTGTGTTAAATGACTGTTGAAAAGTGAATGGGCAAGTGCCTTTCTAGTTCTGTTTGGAGAAAAACAGCAGCTCTGAGTCTGGGAGAAGAATATATTAAAGGTGTTTCCAGAAGTTTCTGTGGAAGGTAGAGGACAATCAGAGAGGAAGTGCTTGGTGCAGGAACCACAGGATCCTGGTAGGCCAGCCGAGGCTGTGGTGAGAGAAGGAGAGGTTTCCGATGTGGACTGAGCGGCAGGATTGCACGGGACCTAGAGAGACAGTGTTGACCTCAGGGAACCAGACAAAGTTGGGCCAGTCACCTCATGGTAGAGGCCTGGGACTGAGGCAGCCCATCGGAGTCCCCTCTAATCCTGATCCAAGGGGGGCTCGCAGCCTGTATGTGTACCTGGAACCACAGAGCTGGGTGTCCTGGGCCCGTACCATCTTTTCATCTCAGGTGGGAGGGGACTCAGTGCAGACCATAAGCTGAACTTGGTGATGAGAAGCGGGGAGCCTGGTGGATGTGAAGGATGGCGTTCAAGCAGGTCAGCGATTGTGTGTTTGTATCAAAAGGGGGAGAAGGTTAGGACACATTTTCAGACTTTTAATCCACCCCCTTCCAATAAGTCATTCCATCAACTTGGATTTTAGCGAGAGAGATTGATATATATATTTTTAAAAATATATTTTATTGATTTTTTACAGAGAAGAAGGGAGAGGGATAGAGAGTTAGAAACATCAATGAGAGAGAAACATCCATCAGCTGTCTCCTGCACACCCCCCACTGGGGATTAAGCCGCAACCCGGGCATGTGCCCTTGGCCGGAATCGAACCTGGGACCCTTCAGTCCGCAGGCTGACGCTCTATCCACTGAGCCAAGCCGGCTAGGGCGAGAGAGATTGATATTTAAATTCCATGCTACACACATGGCCAGACATGGCCACAGCACCTGGCCACAGGCTTAGGTTTTATATCTGAAGACTCTGCCGACTACTGAGAGCCCCTGAGCTCCGCTGGGTGAGTGTGTGTGCCATGCATTGAACAGATACACGGTGGAGGCCGTGTTTGTACTAGGTTTGTCTGAAGGCTCCGTGTGCGGGGGGGGGGGGGGGGGGGGGGGGGGGTCTGAGGGGTGAGAGGTGCATGGCTGTGGATGTTAAACTGATTTTGGTTCAGAAATGTCATATCATAGATAAGTATGTGTTAACACCTTCTGGAAACCAAAACCCCATTGTTTGCTTCTGGGGTAGGAGATTTTATTCACTTCTGGTTGGCGCCACTTCAAGGGCTCTCTGGGCACCGAGTCCCTTTTGGGACCTCTCACACCACTTTGGAGCGGGGCATTTCTTACCCTGAAGTTAAGATCTTTTACCCTCTGAATTTCAGGCTGGATCTAAGAAGAGGAGCCACAGCCCTTCCATCTATGAAGGGGTAAGATTCTGAATGGGCTTAGTGCCTATAGCATATCTGGGAAGTTGTGCACTTGTGAAAACGTCATCCACAGAGTCTCAGATCTGTAGGGATTTTAGGCAGATTCTAATCCAAATCCTCATTTAGAGGTGAAGAAACTGAGGCCCAAGCAGAGTGAGGGTCTAACACAAGGTCATATCATGTGTTGGGATTTGACTCTTACTGGGGAGATTGAGTTTCAAATTAGGGCCATCTCCAGGCTAGTTCCCCAGCTGTGAACCCTACAATGGACACCTCCCTTCCAAGTGTGTTTGTGGGGGTGGGGAGATCAGAGAAGGGAGGATTAGCAAGTCTGAATGATTTTCTAAAGTTAGCAAGTAATTGAGAGTCATTCCAGAATACAGGTGATCTTCGCTGCTTCTAGGGTGAAGACTGAACAGAGGTGCCCCTGAGCATGGCCCACTTAGGGAATGGAAAGCAGGGTCTCAACATTGATTAAGGGTGGGATGCTGCAGGTGGCCTGCCAGTGGCTTCATACGAATGAGCTCATTTAATCCCACGAAATGTGTGAAGTAGGTATAATCCTACTTCCCATTTGTACCCATAGAAAGTAAGGCACGGAGAGCACCCCACTCTTTCCCCCTTAGCCTCCTCCTGCACCCAAGCGTCCACCTGTGGCCCAATAATAATGTTGCCATTGGTCCCAAGGGAGGGGAGGCTGGGTGCCTGCTGTGCTTCTTGGCATTTTGACAGCAGCTCCACATTAAAGCCACCTGGACAGTCCAGAGTTGCAGAGGACACTGTGTGGCCCCAGGCTGTTGGGGTCCAGCCCCATTGGGTCCAAGGGTTCCCAAAGGTGTGGATGGAGTCGGCGAAGAAGGAATGACACGGAGACAGTGTTCAGTTGATCAGCATAGTGAAGTTCTCCAGCCAGGATCTCCAGCCAAGTTCTGTGTTTATCGTCCTGTTACATCTGTATTTATACCAGTTGATTTTAATCCTATCCATTCTATTCCAAAGGTTAGGGCATTTCTTATCTCCATTCCAAGGTTACTCTATTGTTCTATTAAGCTACAAGGAAGTAACTGAAGGAGATTATCCTAAGTAAAGATTATGTAGCTTAAGTGTGATTGTTCGTAGTTAAAGTGATTAATTACCAGCCTGGCACTTAAGGGGTTTTATTCCCTCCCTAACTCAAGGGAAAAATCCCCACCTGGGGAAACAACCTTTCTCGGGGAGGTGGTCCTGTTTAAAACACATAGCGTTAAGAGGGGGAGCAAACATATGCCATATATGCCAGGTCCCTTGAAACATAAGCTGTGCAGATGTTTCTTCCCTGCAGTGACTGTGTCAAGCAGCAAGGTGGATTGGCTTCTGGCACCAGGCAATCTAGGGGGAGTCAGGAGGAAGCATGGTGTGGTTAAAAACACTAGACTTGGAACCAGAAGAATTGGATTCAAGCCCCTCCTGTACTTCAGTCGGTCATTCTGAGCTTCATTTTCTTAATCTGTAAAATGGGGTTAACAATTCATACCCCACAGAGTTGTTATGGGGATCTCCTAGTAGGAGTGTCTGAACTTCGTTTCTTCTGCAGGTTGGAAAGATACAACCCAGAGCTCAACACGCTGCTTGACTCAACACCAGGAGCTGAAGAACTTTTCTGTATAATCCCAGGGGCCACTGCTGGCCTCCCCTGTGTTAGGACCCAGCATCTGTTTTGGGAATCAGTGCAATGGATGACACCATATGAGTCTACATAATAGTTCCTAGTCTGGGAGTTTGTTGATGGACTATATTTTGTTTTGAAAATGATTTTTAACAGCCATTAAAATAGCAAGGCACCTGCACCAAGGGGTTGAGGGCTTGATCCCCAGTTGGATGCTGTAGGAGGCAGCCAATTGGTGTTTAGCTCTCGCATTGATGTTTCTCTCTCTTCCTTCTCTCTCTCTCTCTCTCTCTCTCAAAAACAAACAAACAAAAAAACAAAAACAAAAACAAAAAAGCAAGGGTGTTGCCCTGGCCAGGTAACTCAGTTAGTTAGACCCTCATCCCAATACCCAAGGTTGAGGGTTTGATCCCCAGTCAGGACACATACAAGAATCAACCAATGAATATATACATAAGTGGAACAACAAATTGATGTTTCTCTCTCCCTCTCACTTTCAAATTAAAAAAAAAGAAAGAACAAGTCTCTCAACTTACAGACTGGATAAGAATGGGTAGAAAGATTGGGTAGTTCACAAGAGACCACACAGCAAGTCCAGGTGCTGGAAATCTAAGTTCTATGTAAATGTAGGGTGTTCTTCCCTTATTCAGCACAGCACTGGAAGTCCTAGCCACAGCGATCAGACCAGAAGAAGAAATAAAAGACATCCAAATTAGAAAGGAGGAAGTAAAACTCTCATTATTTGCAGGCAACATGGTATTTTACATAGAAAAACCTGAAGACTCTACCAATCAACTACTAGATTTTAATAATTGAATTTGTCAATGTAGCAGGATACAAAATCAACACCCCCAAATCAATGGCTTTTTTATACACCAACTAGAGGCCTGATGCACAAAGATTCATGCAAAAATAGGCCTTCCTTCCCCTGGCTGCCGGCAATGGCTTCCCTCCATCACCTGGGACCCAGGTCTTTGCTCTGGCTGCCACCTTCCACCTTCGCTCCAGCTGGAGCTGCCTTCCACCTTCACTCTGGCCGGAGCTGCTTTCTGCCTTTGCTCCTGCGGAGCTGCCTTTGCTCCGGCCCTGCTGCCCTCCTGTAGCTCCCGCCACCCCCCGCACCCTCCCATAGCAGGCATCCCATCCCGCCCCGGCTATTCCGTGCCTGCACACACGAGCTGCCCAGAGGCCTGGAGCGGCTGGGGCAGGGCCCAACCACTGCTATCTTTGTCACTTCAATTTGCATATTCCCTCCTTATTGGCTGTGGGCGCCACCATCTTTGCCACAGAGTGATGGTCATTTGCATATTCTGTCTTTATTAGATAGGATAATGAATTATCAGAAAGAGAAACTAAACAAACAATCCCAGTTACCACTGAAATAAAAATTAAGATACTTAGGAATAAACTTAACTAAGGAGGTAAAAGACTTGTACTCGAAAACTACAATTCTTTGCAAAAAGAGATAGAGGATGATATACTCAAGTGGAAGAATATACTGTGCTCATGGATTGGTAGAATCAACATCATTAAAATATCTATACTAAGAGATTAAAAAAGGCGGTAGAGTAAGTGGATGCTACACAGACACGCTCCTAGGACCAAACTGGAATTACAACTAAAATACAAAAACTTCCTAAATAATCAATAGAACAATCACTGGAGAGAACCCCGTTAACCAAGGATGGAAAGTGCAGACCACATAGAGACTGGTAGGAGGGACAGAGCGTGAAAGGGCTGGTGGGGCTCCCACAGAGAGCAGCTGAAATTCTGGAGAGATATCCCAGCTGTCGGGGGTTGCACTGAGAACTCTGGGATCTAATCCCCAAGCTGGGCCCCCAGCAGAGAGCACCAGAACTGAGAAGGGTGCCCACATAACCTCTGGCTGTTAAAAGCAGCGGGGTTGCTGTCTGCCAGAGAGAGAAGACTGGAAATTCAGGCACCCTCTTAAAGGGCCAATGCACAAAATTCTCTGTGGAGCCACCTATGATGTTCTCAGGCAGAGGGAGGGCAGAGTAGACTGGAGCTGTGTGAGCAGAAGCCAGGATTTGGGGCTCTGGAGTTAGAGCTCAGAAGGCAGATACCCCAGTTTCCTGTGCTGGAAACAGCTTAAGGGAGCTGTGGGACAACATGAAACGTAACAGTATTCAAATAGCAGCTGTGCCAGAAGAGGCAGAAAGGGAGAAAAGAATATAGAAAGGGTTTGAAGAAATAACGGCAGATAACTTCCCTAACCTGGTAAAGGAAAAAGTCACACAAGTCCAGGAGGCACAGAGAACTCCAAGCAAGAAAAACCCAAACAGGCCTATACCCAGGCACATCATAATTAAATGCCAAAAATTAAGGACAAAGAGAATTTTAAAGAGAAAAGAAAACTGTTACCTACAAAGGAGTTCTCATAAGGCTGACACTGATTTCTCATCAGAAACTGTTCAGGCCAGAAGGGAATGGCATGAAGTACTCAAGGTAATGAAAAGGAAGGATCTGAGACCAAGATGACTATATCCAGCAAGGCTATCATTCAAAATAAATGATGAAATAAAGAGCTTCCCAGGCAAAAACAACAACAACAACAAAACTAAAAGAGTACATCACCACCATCACCACCAAGCCAGCATTACAAGAAATGCTAAAGGGACTGCTGTAATGAGAGAAAAAAATAGAGAAGGAAACTTAGGCATACAGAATTAAACAGCAATAAATAAGTACCTATCAATAATAACCTTAAATGTAAATGGATTAAATGCCCCAATCAAAAGATGTAGGGTAGCCCTAACCGGTTTGGCTCAGCAGATAGAGTGTCGGCCTGCGAACTCAAGGGTCCCAGGTTCGATTCTGGTCAAGGGCATGTACCTTGGTTGCGGGCATATACCCAATAGGGGGTGTGCAGGAGGCAGCTGATCAATGCTTCTTTCTCATCGATGTGTCTAACTCTCTATCCCTCTCCCTTACTCTCTGTAAAAAATCAATAAAATATATTTTTTAAAAAAGGATGTAGGGTAGCTAAATGGATACAAAAGCATGACCCAACTACATGCTGTCTACAAGAGACCCACCTCAGAGCAAAAGAAACACACAAGATGAGAGTGAAGGGATGGGAAAAATTTTTCTATGTAAATGGAAAAGAAAAAAAGTTGAGGTAGCAATACTCATATCTGACAAAACAGACTTTAAAATGAAGGCCATCACAAGAGACAATAAAGGTCACTACATAATACTAAAGGGATCGATACAACAAGAGGATATAACCCTGGTAAACTTATATGTACCCAATATAGGAGCACCTAAATATATAAAAAATAATTCTAGAGAACTTTAAGGGAGAGATCAATACCGTCATAGTAGGGGACTTTAATACCCTGCTGACTTCACTGAATATATCTTTCAGACAAAAACTTAACAAAGAAACAGTGACCCTAAAGGACACACTGGATCAGATGGATTTAATTGGCATTTATAGAACATTTCACCCCAAAGCTACAGAATATAAATTCTTCTCAAGTGCACATGGATCATTCACAAAGGTAGACCACATGTTAGGACACAAAAGAAGTCTCTACAAGTTCAAGAAGATTGAAGTCATATCAAGCATCTTCTCAGATCACAGTGAAATGAAATTAGATATCAATTACAGTAAAAACACCCCAAAACATTCAAACTCATGGAGGCTAAATAGTATGTTATTAAGCAATAAATGGTTACCAATGAGATCAAGAAAGAAATAAAAAAAAAAACTTCCTGGAAACAAATAAAAATGAACACACAGCCCGGCTGGCATGGCTTCGTGGTTGGGCATCCACCTATGAAGCAGAAGGTCATGGTTCGATTCCTGGTCAGAGCCCAGGCCCAGTTTGCGGGCTTGATCTTGTGTGGGACATGCAGGGGGCAGCTGATCAATGATTTCCTCTCATCATGGATGTTCCTATCTCTCTCTCCCTCTCCCTTCCTCTCTGAGATCAATAGAAATGTATTTTTAAAAATGAACACACAGCAATCCAAAATCTCTGGGACACAGCAAAAGCAGTCCTGAGAGGGAAGTTCATAGCACGACAGACCCACCTCAAAAAACAAGAAAAATTGAGGACTCTTTCCCCCTCCCCACATGGGAGTCTGTACTGTGAGATTCTTTCCCTTTCTCCACGTGGGAGTCTGTACTTGTTCTTCAATAAATTTCCACCTTTACTATAAAAAACAACAACAAGAAGAAAAATCAGCAATAAATTATTTAACCCTACGACTTAAAGAGCTAGAAAGTGAATAACAAGAAAAGCCCAGAGTAAGTAGAAGGAAAGAAATAATAAAGATTGGAGCAGAAATGAATGCATAGAGATTAAAACAACAATATAAAAAGTCAATGAAACCAAGAGCAGGTTCTTTGAAACAATAAACAACATTGATGAACCATTAGCCAGACTCATCAAGAAACAAAGAGAAAGGGCTCAAATAAATAAAATAAAAAATGAAAGTGGAGAAATAGCCACTGACACCACAGAAATACAGAGGATTGTAAGGAAATACCATGAACAACTCTATGCCAACCAGCTGGATAATGTGGATTTGATTGACAAATTCCTAGAAAAATATAATCTCCCAAAACTGAATCAGGAAGAATCAGAAAACCTGAATAGGCCAATAACAACTGAGTAAACAGAAAGTAATCAAAACACACTCAGCAAACAAAAGCCTGGTTCCAGACGGCTTCACAGGGGAGTTTTACCAAACATCCAAAGAAGAACTAACACCTCTACTCCTCAAACTATTTCAAAAAATCCAAGAGGAAGGAACACTTCCAAGCTCCTTTTGTGAGTCCAGCATTATCCTAACTCCAAAACCAGGTAAAGACACTACAAAGAAAGAGATTTACAGGTCAATATCCCTGATGAACATAGATGCTAAAATCCTCAACAAAATATTAGCAAATCGCATCCAGCAATATATTAAAAAGATCATACACCATGACCAAGTGGGACTTATTCTAGGGATGCAGGCTGGTACAATATTTACAAATCAATAAATGTGATAGATCACAAACAAATGATAAAAGACAAACAATCACATGATCATATTTATAGACATAGAAAAAGCATTCAACAAAACCCAACATCTATTTTTGATAAAACTCTCAGCAAAGTGGGAATAGAGGCAGCATATCTCAACATGGTAAAGGCCATATATGACAAA